TGACCTGAGTCTGAGTGTGCCTTTCTGGTATTCTGATGGTGGTGGGTTAATCCTATTATGTCCCAAGGGTCATATCCTGCTTCCCTGGGGCTGGGCTGATGACTTTTTGGTGTGAGAGATTGTTGATTCTAGGGATCTTTCTTCCTAATCCCAGTTTCCTGACTCCAGTCTTTCTGATAAGATTATCACATCTGCATATCTGTAGACTTGGTTTCTGTTTGGGACAGAGAGACTTGGGGGCAGTGTTGGTTTCTGCTTTTAAAATCCTTTAGGTAAATATAGTCTGCCTTTTAAATATTTCCAAAAATATTTCTTTCTCTCTCTGGTGGGGCTGACTTCTCACAGGGGGTAAGAATGAGGAAGCCCCTTCATCTCAGCCAACCTGGCAGCTAATTCCTACTGGATCTCCTGTTTTTTTGTTTTTTAACTTTTTCTAAAAAAAATGTTCTTTAAAGGGTAAGGAGTGCTAGTCACTCAGCCATCTTTGCAAGGATTGGTACAGTATCAGAAATTTCTGACTCTTGTTTGACCTGGGCATTGTGGCTTATATGCTGTTGATTTACCAGATAAGTAACGGGTACTCATTCAGCTCAATTGAGTTTTTGACATAGCTATTGATTGGCATCATTTATCTGCTGTGCTCACACGTATTAAAAAAAAATCAGTAAAACACTATGTAGATTCCATTTGAGTGTTGCTTTGGAATGCAAAGATAATGGAAACGGTATAGATTCACACCCTAGTTATCTGAAACGTGTTGTCGTAAGTAGTCTGTGGCATTAAGTGATTCAAAAAGATTTGTTCATGGACAAAACCAATTTTGAAATTGATTTGATAAAGATGTTTCGTGATGTGTAATAAGATACATCTTTTTCCTTCTTTGCATTTTTTCCTGTGTCTCCATTTGAACATAGTGTAGGTAACTGGAAACTGCATTGCTTGGGAATGCATATCCTCTGCTCTTTCCAGTCGCAGTTGGCCTTGTTTGTTTTTAGCAATCTTGCCAACAAGCTAAATTGGCCGTATAATGCCATGGTGACACCCTATTCATTATGTGATCTCCATCTGGATCAATTACGTTACCAAATAAGGGAGAAGTGAATGCATTTTATGCTGGTTCTGAGTTAAACATTATGCAAATACACTTCCAAATTAATATATATATATATATTTAACAAATATACATTTGCATATTAGGTTGAATCATTTTCAATATATTAAACTGGAAGGAATATCTAAATAGTGCACAAGAGTCTGGAAAAATTCCTATAAAATTAATTACATTTAGCTTCATAATGCTAATGTAAAGAGCCATGGGTAATGAAGATGCAATTCATTTTTACATATTTTTTGCCTACATTGCTTCTGAAAATTTTCACATTTTCATAGCTCAAGGTGGAATGGAGTGGAGTGGAGTGGAATGGAATAGAATAGAATAGAATAGAATAGAATAGAATAGAATAGAATAGAATAGAATAGAATAGAGCTGAAAGGGACCTTGAAGGTGTTCTAGTCCAGCCCTCTGCTCCAACTGGAGAACCTATACCATTTCAGACAAGTGACTGTCTAGTACAGTGATGGCGAACCTATGGCACGTGTGCCAGAGGCGGCACTCAGAGCCCTCTCTGTGGGCACCCACGCCATTGCCCCAGCAGAGTTCGCCAGAGTAGCGAGCACATTGCGTTTGGAAGCGACAGAGCAGGAAGTGAGTGAGCAAGTGGCATTGGCTCCCTGGGGATGCCCCGAGATGGTGAGGGACTGGCCCCGGCCATGCTCACCCAGTCTGCTGTGACCACTGCAGCCATGCCCAACCCGAGGGCACCACAATGCTGATGCAGCCCTGGCACTTTGCGATAAATAAGTGGGTTTGGGATTGCAGTTTGGGCACTCGGTCTCTAAAAGGTTCACCATCACTGGTCTAGTATCTCTTAAAAACCTCCAGTGATGGAGCACCCACAATTTCTGAAGGTGAGCTTGTTCCACTGGTTAATTGTCCTCACTGTTAGGAAGTTTCTCCTTAATTCCAGGTTGCTTCTCTCTCTGATCAGTTCCCAACCATTGTTTCTTGTAGAGATATACTAAAATCTCTTAATGCTTTGAGGTTTTTCTCTACATGTTTTCAAACTATAAATACAGAATTCCAAGCATATAATTATTTGTAAAAATAAAGCAATGAGCAAGATAACTTTCCAATTTTAGATGTTTAATCTCAGGCATAAAATATTTTATTTTTAAAAAATAAATGCTACAGAAGTTATCAAAAAGGAAATAATATATGTCAAATTGGAAGCTTTAGGAATAAGTGAATTTAAATGGATCAGAATTGACCACTTAAATTATATGATTATATGATATACTTATTAACAACATGAGTGCGTATGAAGGCACAGAATGGCAGTGATACTCAGAAAGGATACTGCTAAGTATGCGATTGGCCATAGTCCAATAAATGATAGGCTCTCCTATCTAGAAGAATTAGTGGCTATCCAGCAAACATCAACTTTGTATGAGTGAATACAGTATATCTGTACTACAGATTCAGCATGAAAATCATTGGGGAATTAATTCACTGGCAAATTCAAATCATGCCAAATACTCCATCTAAAAAAGATATATTACTAATGGCTGATTGGAATGCAGAAGTTGAACTAATGGAGGAACCTGAAATTACAGGAAGATGTGAAACTTGGTAAATAATGCACGGGATAGGTTAGTAGAGTGTTGCAAAGATAATTGCTTATTCACTGCTAATACTTGTTTCAAAAACATAAATGCAGAATCTATTGTATGGATGACACCAGAATCCAAGTGACTACATACTAAGAAAGTAAAGATGGAGAGCTGCAATCCAGTTAACTAGGATACTTCTAGATGTAGTTTGTAGGATAGAAAATAATGCATTATTGGCGTCAAAATATAATAGCTAAATTTGAAAAATGGAAGACAGTAGATTTGACTTGGAAGTCATATTGCCAGAACATAGGATCTGTTTATGCAATAGAAGTAAAAGAGAAGCTGAGGAACGTAGCAAGAGATGAAATCATTGTGAAACGTTAAGGGGGGAAAAATCCCCAAATTCCAGAGAGGAAAAGATCCAAGTGACTTTCAAAATACTATCTATTGTGATAATCAAAGAAAGGCAGAAGATAAATAATAATAATAACAGCAACAAATTCAACATGTTAGTAACAACAACAAATGTTGTTATGCAATGAGAAAGATACACAATGTTTATTCTCTTGGAATAAAATTTTATCTTACAGAGGAAGATAAAGTTGATTTATACTTGACACTGAAGTGCCGGCCCTTATAGAAACAACTTTTTAAAAGTCTCCTTGTAGTTCTTATGATTTAAAAATGAATTAAATCATCATAAAACAATGCTTTGTATAATTCCTCAAAAAATGTTTAGAAAAAGATGGTGGCTGGTTTATGTAGGTGTTATATGAAAGTTTTTTAACTCATGTGGTTGCCCTATAATAGTTATAAAGTTCTTTATTCTAAAAACAATAAGAACTTCACACAATATAGAATTTGAAGTGATTTTATTTCATTGGTACTTAAAGTATATGGATCTCACTGACTAGTCACAGTCTGTTTATTTGGATGGTACTTTAGCTTTTTGTCTTTTACCATTTAAAAAGATAATAAAAAGCATGACGGATCTGTGTGTCTGTGTCCATGGCTAAATAAGAGCTGTAGTATTGAGGAGTGAAATTTAAGTTCTTTTAAATCTACTTTTTCCTGATCTACATTGCCCCTAGCAATGCTGTTTATAATATGGAGGTGGGGTTGGACTTTTGGAAAATGGCAGCAAGGAAAAAAGACACTGTCAAGTGTCCAGCTAGCAAATCCAAGAAAGGAACTCCTGGGACATTGTTCTTCCTGAAAGTAACACTTTTATTGAATACACTACATTGGCACAAAAAAAGCAAAACCAGCTCTGGATTTCCCACTCAAAATCCACATGATTAAACTTGAATTCCCCTTTGGCTGTTCCCCTCAGTCCATTGCATTGTCCAATCGAATACACTCCTTTTGTTATGGGAACTGCCTGGATTGTTCAAACACCTGCCCAGCATGACCTTGAAGGGAGAATCAGGGTCTCACAGTCTGCAGACGGAGTCTTGGCAATCCATCCCCACCCCAGACATTACAACTACACCCCTCCCGAGAACGAAGAACTATGTGAAAGAGCAAATCACTCTTGACACAAGTTCCCATCCTACTCTCCATGATTTATCTTCTTATTCTTAATTCCAATTTACCTGCCCCCTACATCTGAACGAGGATGCCCCAATTAATTTCAATCACATATTAATCCATGAACTGTCTGGGTTGTCTTAGGCAGGGGTAGGCCACCTTGGCTCTTTTATGACTCATGGACTTCAACTCCCAGAATTCCTGAGCCAACCATGCTGAGGGGAAAGGGAGAGGTTTCCAAGCTGAGTCATGCTGGTTCAGGAATTCTGGGAGTTGAAGTCCACGAGTCATAAAAGAGCCAAGGTGGCCTACCCCTGGCCTAGGTGATAGGAAACTTGGCTCTTTTATGACTGGTGGACTTCAACTCCCAGAATTCCTGAGCCAGCCATGCTGAGGGGAAAGGGAGAGGTTTCCAAGCTGAGCCATGCTGGCTCAGGAATTCTGGGAGTTGAAGTCCATGAGTCATAAAAGAGGTTGCCTACCCTTGTGGCCTACCCTTGTCTTAGGCCAACCATCTTGTCTCAGGCTCATTCTCCACCTGCGAGGTGATGTTGCTCCATGGCCTCAGGAATCCCCAAGGGCCTTTATGCACAACAGGTTTGCTATTGCGTCACTATAAATATTTTAATAGTATTTCAGTTACAATGTTAAGCATGGGAATTTTGAAAAGTAATTAGTTCGGAGGAAGGGAAAATACTAGTTGAAGGTGCTGCAAGCTTTTTTCCTGTTAAAGTTGAGGTACTTTTGAAAAATGTATGCGTTGTCTCTTTCCTGATAGTCTTTGTCTTGCTTTGCAGTGCGGCTCCATGAGAGTATTTCCGAAGAAGGTTTCCATTACCTTGTATTTGATCTGTAAGTCTGCTTTATTTGATTTTGATCTTTGATCTCTCTCTCTCTCTCTCTCTCTCTCTCTCTCTCTCTCCCTCTCCCTCTTTCTCCCTCTCTCCCTCTCCTTCCTTCCTTCCCTCCCTCTCTCTCTCTCCCTCTCCCTTTCTCCCTCTCCCCCTTCCTCTCTCTTTCTCCCTCTCTCCCTCCCTCTTCCTCCTCTCTCTTTCTCTCTTTCTTTCCCCTCCTTAATCGCCATATCTGCATGTAATTCAACTTAAGCAAACAAACAGAATTATGGCCCTAAATCAGTGGTTCTCAACCTTTTTAATGCCGCGACCCCCAACCGGTTGTAAGTCGAGGACTACTCAACTGGTGCAGCACCGTTTGCAGAATGGGACTTTTGGCGGGCTCAGCAGGGCAGAGACAACCTGGACAATTCCTATTGGCTTTTGAAAGCCAATAGAATTAGACTCTATTCAAGAGAGTCTATTCTATTGGCTTTCAAAAGCCAATAGAATAAAAGGGAGTAGCACAGCTAAGGAAAAGGGGGAAAAATGGCGGACTGCGTTGTTTGGTGACCCCTGTGAAATGATCGTTCGACCCCAAATGGGGTCCCGACCCACAGGTTGAGAACCACTGCCCTAAATCCTGTACAAGAAAATGTCTTTTTTGTCAGGAGTCGTTACTTAACTCCTGCCGGAGTTAAGACCAACTTGTAAATAATGAAGTTTATTTCACACTACTTTCCTGTGTGCAGATGTTGGGTATTAGCTGACAGAGGAGCAAGAAGTCTTGGGATCCCCAAAACATTGAAGAGACTTCCTCCTGTTCAGTCAGCAGAGATCCTTCTACTGAGGCGGGATTTCTATTGGTTTCTTCCCAGTAAATTTGTAATGCTTGGGCTAAATTAGAAGTAGTACCACTGTGATTATTTGTAGTCTAGGCTGTGGGCCGTAGCTTTCTTTTATTGCCCTTGTTTCATTCTGCAACTCCATAGTTCAGGTCCTTGGCCTTGCACCTGGCCTTGCTATTGAGGGATAGCTATTGAGTGCTGAACATATATGACTGAGGATTATTAGTCTTTAATTATCTCTTGTTTTGGAATTAAACCCTTTAAAGTTTATTTAAGAAGCTGAGGGAGGGAGCTTCTCTTTTCCATTTGCTATTGAGTGTTAGTTTTTGACATCTGCTTCATCAAAGTGTGTCTTCTTAATTTCACGGATTATGTTTGATTCCAGGGTGACTGGGGGGGAGCTGTTTGAAGATATTGTTGCCAGGGAATACTACAGTGAAGCCGATGCTAGGTAAGTTCTTACTTTTATTTTGTTTTAATTTATTTACGGTCCATGTCCTAATGCAGTGATGGCGAATCTTTTAGAGACCGAGTGCCTAAACTGCAACCCAAAACCCACTTATGCATTGTCGAGTGCTGGGTGGGTGTGGCCCATTGGGTGGGTGTGGCCCATTGGGTGGGCATGGCTGCGGTGGTAACGGCAGACTGGGTGGGATTAAAATCAATCAATTCCAACTTTGCAAGATATTTTTTTTTCCCGCGAGAAGTTGAAATTGACTGATTGAACCTTTTTTTTTTTTTTTTGCACACGGTTGCGGAGGCCTAAAGCGAAAAGGTTTTATAAAACCAAGCTGGAGGCCTAGGACTGGGGCGACGGCACGTGTGCCCACAGAGAGGGCTCTGAGTGCCGCCCCTGGCACCCGTGCCATAGGTTCGCCACCACTGTCCTAATGTCAATCCTGCCTCAACTTGGTCAGCATGTGATGGCAGTTCTGACACCTGCGAAACATCATTTCTTGACCGAGTTTTGCTGTAGCTGTTCATACAATTTAGGCATAATACTTGTGCAGTTTATAGCCTTTTTTAGACATTAGTTGCCACAATAAATTATTCTTAGGCCAAACTATATAAATATAGGGAGAGCAATTAAAATAATATAAAATCTGTTTAACAGGATAGCTTTTGACAAATGACAATGTGGCTAGGTGGTCTTTACTTATCTTGACTATATTACTTGGCGTTCAAGTACTTTAAAATGTAGTATAATAAAATTGCCCTTCAATTGCACGTGCTGCTAAATTCTTGTTTTTTTAAAAAAAGCTATTTATCTATTTCCCTGTTGCAAAGCAGGGTAGTCTGTACCATCTTACCGAACAGAACAGTAAATCACTGTAACTTGCATTTAAATGCCTTGTTGTCGATATTGATAGGGAAGACTATGGATAGGTTTTGTCGGAGATTCATCACATTTATGCTCTGTGTCTCCTCTGGGACCTTAAAACAGCTTATTAAATAGACCTCTAATAGCTAGGAATGGTAATGGTGGAACAAAATTAAACCCTGGTTCTCTTTACATCCTGTAGATAGCATCTCAGTTTCACAGATACACTCCCTATCTATCCTTTCCCTTTTAAAAAATAGCATTACCAGATCTTTATTACTACTGTTTGGTTAGGAGCAGTTCAACAGTAAAGACAACTTTATTTTTAATCTGTTGCTTTTGTCATGAGTACAATCTATTCATGACATGTGGTTTGTTTTTGTTTTGTTTTTTACTATGCCCTTATAAGATTTTTTTTCTCTAATATAAACTTCTTCTCCACCATCCTTTATAACTGGTAAATGCAAAGTAAGCTCAGGTCATATCCGTTGCAGTCGTTCTATGGGAGTCATTCTTATTTTTCCCTGTGTAAATAATAGCTGCATAAATATATAATGATTCCTCTTAAGATATTATGCCTCTGATATAGACTTAATCTCCAAATATTCAGAATGCAACCTCCAGTCATTCGGGTGTCACAAGGCTCTTGTATTGGTTTCTGCAGAGTAAAATAGCTAGACATTGCTGTCTGTTTTAGGTTTGGGAGAACTTGTGTTTCTAGAAGATCACATACGCAGCTAAATCTTGACTTTGCTGCACGTCCCTTGTTATTTTTTTGCTTGCTCCTTGCTGCAGAGAGCTGCTTGTAATGAAGTGAGAGTGAAGTTCACTCACTTTTGCCATTTTTGGCCTGAAAGGCCTTGCTAAATGCTTGGCTCTGTTCTAGTTATACAGTGTGTGTCTGATTCTTGCTCTCCACCCAGCTTCCCATTCTGGGATTGGCGCATAGTTGCACAGCCTTCCAGAAGAGTTCACCCTGCCAGCACCTTTGGCATGTACCTGCTGAGGATACGTTGAGATGCCTTGCTGTTTCCCAGAGCAAGCCTCTGCCCCTCCACTTAATGCAATTAGTTTTTATTGTGCAAGTTACATCCAATGGTACTTCCGAGGAATGCTCAGCTAGCTTCTCCGTTGTTGTATTCACTGAGTTATATCATTTGTTATAAAATTTGAACAGATTGTGCATAGCTCCCTTTCAAAAGCACTCACTGTATGTGGTAATGGGTTTGACTTCAAAATAGTTTAAGAGCGAAGATTACTATGAGAGTCACCCCATGGAAAGGCAGGTATTGCCATGGACTGGGGTAAACCAGGTAAATGTCCTGGTTTATGCTGTGAGAACTGTTAACGGTGCAAACATTAGCTACTTCCTTCCTTGCAATAAATTGCTTATGCCGGCTGTTATGTTTGTTTCATTCTAAGTACCTGGAAATGAGGTTAATGAACATTTGCAGATTTTGTGTATGGTGCTTCGTGCATGCACTCTATGGGTGTAACGTTGAACTAATACAATAGGTCAGGGGTTCTCAACCTGTGGGTCGGGACCCCATTTGGGGTCGAACGACCATTTCACGGGGGTCGCCAAACAACGCAGTCCGCCATTTTTTCCCCCCTTTTCCTTAGCTGTGCTACTCCCTTTTATTCTATTGGCTTTTGAAAGCCAATAGAATAGACTCTCTTGAATAGAGTCTAATTCTATTGGCTTTCAAAAGCCAATAGGAATTGTCCAGGTTGTCTCTGCCCTGCTGAGCCCACCAAAAGTCCCATTCTGCAAACGGTGCTGCACCAGTTGAGTAGTCTTTGACTTACGACCGGTTGAGTAGTCCTCGACTTACGACCAGTTGGGGGTCGCGGCATTAAAAAGGTTGAGAACCACTGCAATAGGTGTTGATGACACATTACACCAGGGGTGTCAAACTCAATTTCATTGAGGGCCGCATCAGCATTGCGATTGCCCTCAGGGGGCCGGGTGGGTGTGGCCAGGGTGGGTGTAGCCTACTGGGTGGGTGTGGATGGAGTGAGTGTGGCCTACTGGGTGGGCGTGGCCAGCTCTACATTGTTTGCGTCAAGGGTGGGGGCCTGGGCAGGAGTGGGACAGATCTGAGGGTCTCTGGCAGAAGGGGCTGGGACCGGGGCATGTGCCAAGGCATGGTCCACTGGAGGAGCCTCGCTGTTCTTCTCAGGCCATGTGAGGTGGGGGGGCTTATGGAGCTAAGAATGAATGTGTTTCAGCATAGACAGCCACCACAAAATTGTACATTGGCTCCCGGCCGGCTTGGGCCAGGGCCAAGGCAGCGGGGGCCGTTCCCTCACTGTTTCCAGGATGGCTTCACGGGCCACATGAAACCACTTCGTGGGCCGCATCCGGGCCCTGGGCGTTGTGTTTGACATGTCTGCATTACACCATTCATTGCAAAGGGAGAAGGACAGAGAGAATTTTTGTTTTGCTGGAGCTTGAAAGCTGAAACAAGGGAAATAAAAATGCAAGTTAAGTAGCCTCTGCACCTTCAAAGACTCCAACTCCTTTGTGCAAACATGCTTGCAACGTTCTTCTGTTCATTGCTACTTAACCTTTCCACTGGAAGTTTCCCCAATGTGAAGAAAGTGAGGGAATTGTCAGTTTCAGCCAGGCTAGCAAAGAGGTTGTAGTAAATACTGGCTAAGGGAATTGGATCTTGTCTGTCACATTTTAGGAATTCCTGAAAAATCTCTTTCAAGACAGCCTTGATCAGGGGGAAGAGATTTTTGGGTTAGGATTCAGACTTCCAAGCCCTTCTCAGTGCACAGAGCTGAACTGCAGAAAGTGCTGTGAATTACATTTTCCTCATAGAACAATGCAGATCGTGGGCATGGTCAGTAAATAAACTCATATTTTTTGTGGTATTTTATGTATTGTTAAAACTTTAATCTGCAGTTTCCCGATTATAACAGCATATTTGCTGATTTGTGTAATAATTTTGCCTTGGGAATCTTGCTAGAAAAACGATTACTCGTTGGAGAAATAAATTAATAAATCATGTTTCTTTTCTGCTTTTGTTTGTTTCTTCTGCAGCCACTGCATTCATCAGATTTTGGAAAGCGTCAATCATATTCATCAACATGATATTGTACATAGGGATTTAAAGGTAATACTTGGCTCCAGTGGAAAATTAGACTTGCCTGGAGCTACAGGTAAACGAAATCAAGATAGTTGCACAGGTGGGTCTAGGGCAGGGGTAGGCCACCTTGGCTCTTTTATGACGCGTGGACTTCAACTCCCAGAATTTCTGAGGCAGCACGGCTCCGCTCAGAAACCTCTCCCTTTCCCCTCAGCGTGGCTGGCTCAGGAATTCTGGGAGTTGAAGTCCACGCCTCATAAAAGAGCCAAGGTTGCCTACCCCTGGTCTAGGGCAGTATAAAATTGGTTTGCTTCTCCACCACAGTCTTTGGCTTACTAATCTTTCATTTAATTTAATGCCCTGGTCTCTTCAAATGCTGCACAATTTGCAAAAACTTTAGTATCACTAATTGATATTGTACTGTAGTTGAGGGAGATGAAAAGTAAGTGTCCTTGTAGCAGATTGTAACTACCATTTAGAGGAATTACATGAGCTTTAAGAAAGTATATGGGTGGAGCTTTTTCTTGACGCCTGTTTTCCCAGTCAGTTGTAATTCTAATTTTTAAAGAAATAATGTTAGAGCATATTTTTCTTGCATTCATTATGCATGTAAGATGTAATACGGTGGGTCTAACTATTCATGTAGCTTAATAATTCAAAGGATTTTTAAAAAAAATCTAGTATAGTAAAGATAAATCTTGACAAGATCTGGGAGGAATTGACTATTCAACAGCGTTGGAGCCAGTAAAGCTTTTTTTTTTTTTCCTGGAGATATTTCAGTAGAAACTAGATGGCCATTTGTCAAGTATGCTATAGTCATGGATGTCTGTGCTGAGTAAGGGATTGGATTATAGATAATTCAGGATCCCATCAAACCTTTTCATTCCATGATTCAAAGGATTCCTTTAGCAGAGATGAACTCTAAATGGTAGTAAAAAAGATTGAGAACTTAAGAGATTGCCTTCTTCCAGGACTGGGCTTGGTTTTTTTCTATTGTTTACATACAACCTTGGAATTCCTTCATTGTCTTGCATCAAAATACTGACTCAGAGGGAGCTGGCTAGGTGCAGCCCCTTGCCAGGACTACTTACAGAACAGTTGTTTGTTTAATCCTGTGATAAATGAGTCAGCCAGTGTAATAGATTCCAGCCAGAAGTGTTTTCAGGAATGATCCTTCGGTGAATATTGCCTTAGCTGGAATTGCAGAAGGATGACTTCTTTTTCTAGTTTTGTTTTATCGGGATCTCCGTGCCAATGATGACAGAGCTGCTCTATTAGGAACACAGTACTTTGCTGTACCATTTATTCTGGGCTTCACTTCTTCTTGAAAATATTCCTGCCCTGTGCTTTTGCTGAATCAATTCTAGCTGGCTTCAGATAATCTTGCCTGGATTCAGTTCAGATTATAAACTGCCACATCCTAGGCCTTACTGACAAACTGGACATCAACAAGTCATTTTGCCTGATGGCATCTACCCCTCCGAGTATTATTGTAAGGAGTTTAAAGCTGGCATTGTGGACTTTCTAACTAAAATATGCAGCCTGTCTCTACATTCACCCCCTTTGTAGTTGAAGACTGGAAGGTATCACCTTAATTCCAATTTTTAAGAAGGGTTCACAGGCAGATCCAGGAAATTAAAGACCTGTCAGCTTAACATCTGTTCCAGGAAAACAGTGGAAACCAGAGGACAGAACTGTTGGAATGCTAAGAAAAAGACGCAGGCATGTCTTGAGCAGAGGTGTGAAGCTGCAGGACACAGCTTGACAAACTCTGAGTTTATTGCTTCTTATATACTTGTTACATACATAGGCTTTACCATTAAATGCTGACAAAGGTTTCTTCACTGGAAAATATCTTCGTGTAAGCAACTGTTTTCTAGTAACACATTACATGGTCAAAGACCAGGTAAAGAGCAAACAGGAGAAGGACCTAACAAAGGCAGGAAGAGATAGAAAGTAACTTAAGCATATTATCTATTTAGGTAGGTGAGGCATTAAGTCAAAAGGGGATGACCTTCTGGCTGCTTCATTGGGACAAAGGGTATCAAAAGGTTATGAGGTTTGGGGGGGAAGCATGACAGTTTGCTGCGTGTGCATTTTCCCCCACACAGAACAAAAACCTAAAGAAGGACTAAAAGCGTCCTCCGCCTCCCGACAGACAAATCGGATGTTCTTGCTTTGACACAAACCATAATTATTATGGACAGATGATAATACATGCAGAAAAACCCAAAGAATTACTGGCTGACAGAGAAACCTACGCCCTTATAACACCAACCCAATAGAGAAACTAGACAGCCTGATCAAGAGTATTCTTAATCGTCTCTAACCAAGGGAGGTCAAATCACAAAAGAAGAATAGTGGCAGATGAAAAGCAGTAGACCTGCCCTCCCACACATTTATGGATGTACCAAAATACATAGGCCCAACATATCTCTTTGTCCAATTGTATCATTACCAGGGACCCCAACACACAACATAGTTAAAGAACTTACAAAAGAGCTTGAATTGCTTACAAAGGGAAGTTAATATTCTTTCAATTCTCACTCTAATGCGTCCAGAACATCAAAGATCTAATAATAAAAGAAGATGAGATGGTTTAATTCAATGTCACAGCACTTTATATCTATAGACCCAGAACTAGCAACAGAATCCATAGCAATGGGACAACACAACACTGCCTAATTATTTTTTATTTAAGCATTTATTAAATTTATGTAGCCACCCAACTCTTAATATAGGTAATTGGGATCACCATCTAGAAAACATAGCATTTCCATGCATGCAACCAAAACTATGGATCTGATATGTAGACCACACTTTTGTCATAATAAAGAAGGAACAACTAGACTAGGGGTAGGCAACCTTGGCTCTTTTATGACTCATGGACTTCAACTCCCAGAATTCCTGAGCCAGCATGGCTCAGCTTGGAAACCTCTCCCTGTCCCCTCAGCATGGCTGGCTCAGGAATTCTGGGAGTTGAAGTCCACGAGTCATAAAAGAGCCAAGGTTGTCTACCCCTGAACTAGACAGATGAAATCAACAACATATTTAAAGGAAAAAAATTCACAAGGGGAGAGGAAATCAACACACTACCCTTCCTGGACATCCTCATCAGCCTAAAGAATGACAGCAGATTAGAAACACAAATCTGTCAAAAAACCATCCACACTAACCAAATGCTCCACTACCAAAAACAGCCAACCTCCTACAAGAGAAGCTGTGTAAGAACATTATTCAGACACACTGCAGCAATCCAGGACACCAGAAAAAAAAGAAACAGACCAACCGTGCCACATCTTCCTTTAAAATGGAAAAAACAACTTTATGGAAAAACACCTGACCACTCAACCCACTACAATGCAACCAACACAAGCTATAGAAAAGGTAGCATGGCCATACATCAAAAATATCACAGAAACAACCAATGGACTGTTACAACAACATGGCATTACCGTGGCGCACATACCAATGAAAATTCCAAAACATCTTATATAGGCCAAAAGACCCAATAGCTCAAGAAGAAAAGTGTAAGAATCGTAACTGCCACTATATGGGACAAGCAGGCAGAAGACCAACAGGATGCATCCATGAAAAATGGGCAAGCAGGCAGAAGACCAACAGGATGCATCCATGAAAAATGGGCAGTCAGAAGACATGATGAAAACCTTAATTGGAGAGGACAGACTTAACCATAGTTTCAACTTGGAATCTGTGAGCACACAGTAGACAAGGCTAAATCCACAAACGTTAGAGAATGTCTGGAAACTTGGCATTCAGACAAATCAGCCATCAACAGGAACATAGAGATAAATCACATTTATACTTCATTCGAAAGAGACAATAAAAAAACCATAAAGAAAATAGAAAGATCAGAACACTTCCTTGCCAGCAATTAACACCCAGATAAGCAGGGCTTAACATCAAGAGCAAGAGCCTACAAAGAAGTAGTAAATAATACCTTAATCAAGGATTTACCAAGGAGAAAACAATACCCCCACAAAAACTGACAGGGCAAACAACTGTATACAAACAAAGCAGTACTGAAGATGTTACCTAGCCAAGTAATGAAATGTCTGCAAGAAAACAAGCAAGCTCAGAGAGCACCAATGGCTCCACAGTGGAAACCACTATTAAAGATAAAATTATCCAAAATTTGGAGACACAGAGCTTGCTCAGGATACCCAGGATGGCTTCAGTAAGGGAAGGTCCATTTTTTTTTTTTTTTAAAAAAATAGCTATTAGAGTTTTTTGAGAGTGTTAATAAGCACATGAATAAAGGTGAACCACTAGTCATCTACTTATATTTTCAAAAATCTTAAGGGACCAGGGCTTTTTATATAATCTAGCATTGGACACGATTAACGGAATAGCCAAGTTCATGTTTTTTAGAATGGTTAAAAATAATAAGGAACTGTGAAGGACTCTCTGCACACATTGGCATAAAAATGGCAGAGGTCTTTCAATATAAACAAGTGTAGAGTGATGCATAGAATATGAATGAGTGGGATCAGAGCTAGCAAGGACCGATGAAGAAAAATATTGCAAAATAATAACAAGAAATATAGGAAGGCACAGGTATTCTAAATGTATGCATTTGACCCTTTTGCAGATAGCTGACATTTACAGAAACATAAAGGCAAAAAAAGTCAGATGCATATGAGGATTATGATCCACTTTTAGACCTTAGACCAAGGATAGGCAACCTTGGCTCTTTTATGACTGAGCCAGGAATTTTGGGAGTTGAAGTCCACGAGTCATAAAAGAGCCAAGGTTGCCTACCCCTGCCCTATAGACTATGGCGATAAATATCCAGTGCCACCTATTTTATACTGCCCTACACTCAGATGATCTAATTAACTTTTTAGTTATAGAAGTGCTGATTTGCATGGTGCAAATAAGGGGCTGGATACAATGCCTGGTGGATGGTTGACATCTTCATCTCCTTGTTCTCAATGTGCATTTATGCTACAAAATTCTATACTTTAGAAATAAAATTCTCTGTGGCGGTAGATTTTTTTTAGACTGCTGCTTCCAACTCTTCTGATACCTGCAGAGGGTTATTCTGGGGGCAAAGGGGGGGGGGAATTCTTAGTTTGGAAGAGAAGAATGGGCAGAGAGCAAAATCACCGCAACGACAGCTATCGAAAGAGCTAACAAGGAATCAATACAATTTAAAAACTGCAGTTGATTGCATTGTTTTTCAGCTGGGTCTCCCTGTTCAGCAGTCAGCATTAGAACTGCTTGTGTGTGACAGCATAAAACAAGGGTTTTATATTGAGCGTATTTATATTGGCTGAGCGCCAAAGAATTGAGGCCTTTGAACTATGGTGCTGGAGAAGACTCCCGCGAGTCCCTTGGACTGCAAGGCGTTCAAACCGGTCAGTCCTAGAAGAGATCAACCCTGACTGCTCTTTAGAAGGCCAGATCCTGAAGTTGAAACTCAAATACTTTGGCCACCTAATGAGAAGGAAGGACTCACTGGAGAAGAGCTGGGAAAGATGGAGGGCAAGAGAAGAAGGGGACGACAGAGAATGAGATGGCTGGATGGAGTCACTGAAGCAGTAGGCGTGAGCTTAAATAGACTCCAGGAGATGGTAGAGGACAGGAAGGCCTGGAGGAACGTTGTCCATGGAGTCGCGATGGGTCTGACACGACTTCGCAATTAACAACAACAACAATACTGAGCATAGATATAATAAATGTATGAAAGATAATTTCCTGGGTCTTAATGCTGTTCCAGGTAGACTTAGGAGGCTTTGAGAAGTTGCATTTGGTCGTTCCACCATGCAATTAGCAGGATGCATTATTCCAGTGCACAACTGGAATAATTTTAATTTTTCCTGAAGCATAATTGGGATTTCAGTGCTGCAGTCATAACTGAAGTTTTGTCCAGTTAAATGAATGAATGTATGTAGCCAGGGAACTCCATGCAAAGTTTGTCTTGCTGCATCTTGTTCTGCTGCCTTCAGAATTACCTCCAACAGTGACTATATCACAAGGAAATCTGAAGGCCGTGCAGAATTAGTGCCACCTACTGTTTGCGTGGCGCCTCAGAAATGCTTATCCGAGAAAGAGTTTGACAAGTTGCAGTAGATGGTTGTGAAGGTGAATTTTAGTCCATCTCTTGGACTAATCCATTGCCGTGACCTAAAGTTTGTTAACGATCCAGGTAAGAATCTGGATTTTTTAAAAGAAGGATATCTGAGAAAGAGTTTGACAAGTTACAGTAGATCAGTGTTTTTCAACCTTGACAATTTTAAGGCATGTGGACTTCAACTCCCAGAATTCCACAGCCAGCAAGGCTGGCTGTGGAATTCTGGGAGTTGAAGTCCACATGCCTTAAAATTGTCAAGGTTGAGAAACACTGCAGTAGATGATAGTGAAAATGAATTTTAGTCCATCCCTTCCATTGCCGTGACCTAAAGTTTGTTAACGATCCAGGTAAGAATCTGGATTTTTTTAAAAAGAAGGATAGAATGCGATGCTGCGACCTTGGAAAAGAGGGCAATGGTTTTAAGATAGAAATATTCACTTCAGATTTTTCTCTTGTTTTGCCTCTCTTAGCCTGAGAACTTGCTCCTTGCCAGTAAATGCAAGGGCGCTGCTGTCAAACTGGCTGACTTCGGACTTGCAATTGAAGTACAAGGAGAGCAGCAGGCGTGGTTTGGTAAGTGTTTCAGGAGGGTTGACGTTTTGTCAAGTTAAATTTCTTTTTTTACTTCAAAGGAGGGTTGCAACTTGTCACTTAAAGAAAGGCCCCAATTCACCTCCAAAATGGAAGTGGTTTTCTTGGCATGGATGAGATAGCCCAGTGATGGCGAACCTTTTAGAGACCGAGTGCCCAAACTGCAACCCCAAACTCACTTATGCATTGTCGGGTGCCAGGTGGGTCTGGCCCATTGGCTGCGTGTGGCCAATTGGGTGAGTGTGACTCATTGGGTGGGCATGGCTGCGGTGGTAACGGCAGACTGGGTGGGACTAAAAAGTTCAATCAATCAATTCCAACTTTGCGAAATTTTTTTCCCTGCGAGAAGTTGAAATTGACTCATCGATTGAACCTTTTTTTTTTTTTTTGCACACGGCAGCGGAGGCCTAAAGCGAAAAGGTTTTATAAAACCCAGCTGAAGGCCTAGGACTGGGGCGATGGCGCGCGTGCCCATAGAGAGGGCTCTGAGTGCCGCCTCTGGCACCCGTGCCATAGGTTCGCCCCCACTGAGATAGCCCGAGCTCCATTTTGTGCGCTCACTTACCTACTGCAGCCCTTGCTTCATTCCACTTGACTCTGTAGCAGAGACTTTTGTTCGCCCTTGGTTTAAAATGCCAAATTTGGGGACATGAGATTCCTCAGCTTTCATTCTATTAGTTTTCTTCGCTGAGACAAGCCTGAAATAAAAGAATAAAAGAAAACAAGCCTGAAATAAAAACAATATTAGAAAGTGAGATGGACAGACTTGCAGGGGCTGAGACCTGTGGTTGCTGCTGGGCATATTTGTGGGAGCTGAAGCCATTTTCCAAGTGCTGAGGAGCACTTCCTATTGCAGCTCCTCTCTTTGCTGCTTTGGACAGTATGTGGCCCAGAAGAAGATCTTTGGCAGTAGCTACCAGGGAAAGATTTTTTGCTGCATCTGGACACATTTGCTGGGGATGCCCTAGGCTCGGTCATTGAGAAGCACATTCCCAGGCAGCTTCCAGCTTCCCTCAGTGCTAGTCTGCACCCTGGGGAGATCTAACCGTGTCCCCCTCCAAAAACTCCACCTTGAGAGCTTTGCGTTGCAGAACTGAGTTGGATACTCCAAGGTGTAATGAAACTGGTGCAATCTGAGGAGGAAGAAATGGGGAACCTGGAAGTGTGGTTTGGGGGAAGGGTGGGGAGGGAATGAGTTGAATTCCGTCTGATAGATCCTGGTGAGCGTGAGGCTGGATGGGAGTTGATGTAAGGTTTTAGAGCAGTGGTTCTCAACCTTTCTAATGCCGTGACCCCATAATACAGTTCCCCATGTTGTGGTGACCCCCAAGTGGGTGTGGCCACCAATAAGAGGGAGTAGGACAGCTAGGGAAAAGGGAAAAAAATGGCAGACAGCGTGGTTTGGCGACCCCCGTGAAATGGTCGTTCGACCCCAAATGGGGTCCCGACCCACAGGTTGAGAACCACTGCTTTAGAGCGAGGGGCCCTTGATTGGTGAGATAATGGATGAAACTTGATTGAGATGGTGGGTGCAGAATGAGCATTGATTTGGTCCAAGTGCAGCCTGTGGAGGAGTCGTGAGTGATCGGCTGTCTTCAAGGAACATTCAGATGCTACAACTGCTCTAGAACAGGGTTTCTCAACCTGTGGGTCGGGACCCCATTTGGGGTCGAACGACCATTTCACGGGGGGTCTCCAAACAAGGCTGTCCGCCATTTTTTCCCCTTTGGCCACGCCCCTGGCACCCGGTGATGTATAAGTGGTTGGGGGTCACCACAACATGGGGAACTGTATTATGGGGTCGCGGCATTAGAAAGGTTGAGAACCACTGGTCTAGAACATAGTAGTTGTGGGTGCACCATGTGAAAGCCCCATTTATTCTGACAACCAGACTGGCTGCTAGTTGACTCCTGGGTGCAATTCAAGGTGCTGGTTGTCACCTTGAAAGTCTTAGATGTTTCAAGACCTATGTGTCTGCAAGTCTGCCTTCTCCCAGTAACATCTGCCTGCCTAATAAAATTTAGTAGGATTGGATCTTTACATATCCTGCTGATCAGATTGGCCAGAGGTTTCAAGGACCACGAAGGCTTAACCTCTCAGTCATCGTCCCATTTCACCACCATCACACCTCCAACTTTTGAACTGACCCCTCCTCCCTGGCCTTCAGAAAATGAATGAAACCTTGGCTGCTCCACTAAGCCTTAAGCTTGATTTGCATTACTTTTGACTTCAAATACGTATTGGGCAGGTGTATATTGCTCAGAGTTTGGCTGATTGGAGTGGGCTGTAAGTCCTGTAAAGATATAAATGAAAAGCAAATAAAATAAAGGATATGCCCCAGAGGAAACACGGGATATCAATACAATGTATAAGTAAGATTAAAATATTAACGAACGTTTGGCCACAGCATTAGATTCCATCTGCCAACTGAAGCCGAATCAATCGTGGCAATCTATGATTTATCTTCCCAATCACTGGCGCGGGAGTGAATTGGTTTGACTGACACCCTGTGCTAGACTTGGTCCAAGATGGCGTAGTCTGGGAAGGTTTTTCATGAATTATTCATGGGGTAGCTCTCTAACACATCCCCCCCCCCCCACGCTTCGTGTCGGAAGGCTTATTTTCTCGTAATTGTGAAATTAGTAGCTTTATTCTGAAGTGCTGCTCTGTGCTTTGACAGGATTTGCAGGTACTCCGGGTTACCTGTCTCCTGAGGTCTTAAGAAAAGATCCTTATGGGAAGCCAGTGGATATATGGGCGTGCGGTAAGATCCTCTTAACTTTTAATCCTAGTTCTTTGGGTTGCGGGATCTATTTGCTTTAAGGTGGGACCAAGCTGCATAAGGGTATCTAGCAATTTGCAGAGATGGAGAATATAGTCTTATGAACCTGTGACTGTAACGTTCCTCAACTGAATCGAAAAGGCAGTTCTGAACTTTTTAATCCAACTGCTATCTGTTCTGGTAGAAACCAAGGTTGGCTCAAGTGCTACCAGCTACATAGAGTCCTCATCCTCATTATTTGGAAGATTATTAGTTTCCTGAAAACAGAGCTAGATAACACAGAACCTTGATGGACATAGGCCAGGGGTAGTCAACCTTGCCTCTTTTATGACTCGTGGACTTCAACTTCCAGAATTCCTGAGCCGGCATGGCTCAGCATGGAAACCTCTCCCTTTCCCCTCAGCATGGCTGGCTCAGGAATTCTGGGAATTGAAGTCCACGAGTCATAAAAGAGCCGAGGTTGCCTACCCCTGTGGTAGGCCCATTATTGGTGAGGTCCTTGAGCTAATTCAGCTCTCTGTGCATTGCCCCTGGACCGCCTGTTTCTACGGATCCTTGATTGTCAACCACAACTCCTTGCCCACCATCTGGGGCAGGGGTAGGCAACCTTGGCTCTTTTAGGACTCATGGACTTCAACTCCCAGAATTCCTGAGCCGGCATGGCTCAGCTTGGAAACCTCTCACTTTCCCCTCAGCATGGCTGGCTCAGGAATTCTGGGAGTTGAAGTCCACCAGTCATAAAAGAGCCAAGGTGGCCTACCCCTGACATAGGCCAGATTCCACTTTGTCCTACGTGATGGAAATGTAGAATCTGGACTGACAGAACTTACAGTGAAAGGAAGCCTGGATGTAGGGATTGTGAAATGAGCATGTTCTGTCTTGCAAAGATTCAACACATCCGTTTCTTTTAACCAACGTTTGGCTGCAAAACTCTCTAGAGTAATCCAACTTTTCTTTCGATTGCGATATATTTTGCAAGGCTCTTTTTATTTTAGTATTCAGATTATTAATTAGGCTTCTCAGTTCTCAGACACTTTTAGCTGTTTTTCTTCTTCTAACAGGAAAATTGTCCCATGAAAATTCCCGACAGCACTTTCGTAACTTAACGCTTTTTCTTTATGCAGCCTGCAATTAACTGCTGTTCCATTAAGCTCCAAGAGTATTTAGACCTTTAGCTCTCTTCATCACAAGTTTGAAAGGAAAACTTGTATTAGTTGGCGTGAAAAAAGACTAGTTTCTTGTCCATTATTTCCCCCAAACTGATTTAGAATGGAAATGGTCCAGATTGGTCTGTTCATTCATATCTGAGATGAATGGTGCTTTTAAACTTCTCACTGGGACACTCTCTTCATTGTAAACAATCCAGAACATTTACTGCATGAATGGAACATTGTTCTCTGCTTGCTAGAGTAATGGACCTGGTTTCACTTTATTAATGCACTTCTGATGCTTTGTTACAACCTATAACCGGACACGTACACTTAATTTGTATAAAGTCTGCTGACTGGAGCAAATGAGCAAGCAATTAAACAATGTCCTTAGTCATCCATTATCTTAAAAGGAACAGATCAGGAAAAGTCTAACCTTGCTACATTTCTTTTCTTTACATTTCATTTTGTTCACAATAAAATCTTTTTATCCGCTCTCGAGGAGTGGTCATTTGCACATGCGGGCAGGCCTTATCCATTTTTAAAAATAATTTATTGAGGTTTTTAATAAATATAGTAACAACCAGTATAGACAAAACTGTTTGTTGGTTTGTTTAGTAAATTTGTTTCTGCAGGGTGACTCTTGAGCGGCTTACGAGATCAAAATAAAACCATAAATACATGTACAAATGTGTAAAATCACAATGAAATCATAATAAAATACCAATTATAAACTAAAAGATGTGGAGGAAAAGATCAGAATGTATGGTGAAGGCGAGGTGGGAGCTGCTGTTAGTGATACCCCCCCCCCCCGAGGCCACAAGCCAACTGGCAGAGCTACTACTACTACTACTACTACTACTACTACTACTACTAATAATAATAATAATAATAATAATAATAATAATAATAACAACAACAATAAAGTTGGAAGGGACCTTGGAGGTAATCTAGTCCAACCCCCTGCTCAGGCAGGAAACCCTATACCATTTCGGACAAATGGCTGTCCAGTCTTTTCTTAAAAACTTCCAGTGTTGGAGCATTCACCACTTCTGGAGGCAGGTGGTTCAACTGGTTAATTGTTCTCACTGTCAGGAAGTTTCTCCTTAGTTCTAGGTTGCTTCTCTCCTTGGTTAGTTTCCATCCATTGCTTCTTGACCTGCCTTCAGGCGCCTTGGAGAATAGCTTGACTCCCTCTTCTTTGGGGCAGCCCCTGAGATATTGGAACGCTGCTATCATGTCCCCCCCTCATCCGTCTCTTCATTAAACTAGACATGCCCAATTCCAGCAACCATTCCTTATATGCTTTAGCCTCCAGTCAGTCAATCTTGCCTCAGGGAATAAGATATTTCAAAATAGAAGAAAAAATAAAAATAAAAAAAAGTTCAGAAGAAGCAGAAAAAAAAGACAAAAAAGTAGAAGGGAAAAAGGCAACAAAGGTGCCCTTCAATCTTTATAACACCAAGCATAATCTAATAATACTAACTTCTCACCCTCTTTTAAAGTTACAGATTAAAAAAAAACCTTTTCGTCCCATAACTTAACTTTTATTTATACACAATCCAGAAATCACCATCTGTTTAATCCTAGTCAGCAAAAACTGAACTCTCATTAAGAGTTGCAGAAATATCCAACAAATCATTTATCCCTGGTCAAATAGCCCTCTTTTTTGCTCTGTAAATCTTGACCTTCAAATCATTCTTACGGCAGGATTTGATCTTTCATCACCCTTTGGCATTTAAAATGAGTCTTCAAAGCTTTTACCAGCCTATTCTGTAAATCCTATAAAGAGGCTTTGTTCAGGATGTTTTATTGCAGCTGTTCCACACCCAGATAATTTTTCTTGATTTGTCTTTTTGTAATTTTATCTTGGTAATCTCAATTTTGTTGCCTCCCATTCCATCAAATTCTATAATGTCTACATCAGATAAAAGGTTTTTAAAATACTTTTTCTCATCATATTGTAAAAGTTTGTCCTTTCAAATCTTTATTCTTTTTAATACATTTGTTATTAATATTTCAGTCCATGTTTTTAAAAAAATTAAAATAAGAAACAGCTATGGCCATTTTAACTCTTTTCTGCCTGATCCTTTATTTCCCCTTAGTGTCCATTTACGACCTTTTTTAAGCCTCAGTTCCTAATAGGGGTTTGTTCTGATTCAATCATTTCCCACAAGTATATTATTTAATTATATACTCGTGTTTTGTTTTGTTTTCCAATCTTACAGCAAATATAACCAATATTCCAAATCTCTCTGGTCTCCAAATTCATTTAAAACTTTCTTAAATCAAGAATTTTTTTTTTTTTGCTTTTTGCCAATCATATATTAAATATATAGTAAAATGTCTTAAATCCAAAGAGGAAGGTAATACTCACCAGGTGTTGAATTAAGTTTGCTGTTTTGAAGGTCTCTAATATTTCCAAATGTGATTAAAAAGTGAGTTTGGCTGGCTTAGTGTCTTATGAAAGACTCCGCCATTGTTTAGAGCAGTGGTTCTCAACCTGTGGGTCGGGACCCCATTTGGGGTCGAACGACCATTTCACAGGGGTCGCCAAACAACGCAGTCCACCATTTTTTCCCCCTTTTCCTTAGCTGTGCTGTGCTGTCCTTAGCTTTTATTCTATTGACTTTTGAAAGCCAATAGAATAGACTCTCTTGAATAGAGTCTAATTCTATTGACATTCAAAAGCCAATAGGAATTGTCCAGGCTGTCTCTGCCCTGCTGAGCCTGCCAAAAGTCCCATTCTGCAAACGGTGCTGCGCTAGTTGACTAGTCCTTGACTTACGACCGGTTGAGTAGTCCTTGACTTACAACCGGTTGGGGGTCGCGGCATTAAAAAGGTTGAGAACCACTGGTTTAGAGTAAAGATAGTTTATCTCCCTCAGGTCCTGGCACTCAGACCCATGGAAGATCTCAAATAAATGTATTAACATACAGTACACGATGGCTAAGGATGCTGCAAGCATTCTCACATTTTTCCATTTACAAATATTTATGGTAACTTGAGAGATGCTGGTTTCTCAGAGAGGGAAAGCTATGTTCCTCCACAGAAGTTGGAATGAGTCTTGAACATAGAAGATAGATTGCCTTGTGACAGTGGGCAGCAGCTTAAAAGATGATAATCCCCGTGGATTGACTCAAGGGTGTATTTGTCTTTTAGGGTAACTATTTTTTTTTTATTTTCTCCCAGGAGTTATTCTTTATATATTACTTGTTGGATATCCTCCATTTTGGGATGAAGATCAGCATAAACTGTATCAGCAGATCAAGGCAGGGGCCTATGATGTAAGATAATTCCTTTTATGTTGTTTTCTGTAGTTAATTGTTTGATTTTGATGCATCATGCTGAAAAATGCATTGTTGGGCATAGGGGATAAGGAAGAGGGATAGTGTCAGAAGTTGCTCATTCATAAAAATTATAGAGGGGTTAATACCAGTTCAGTAATTTAAAATCTTTTAGTGGCTGAACATTCTTTTAAAGAGAACCATTTTCTATTCTTGTTAGCCGGATGAAATAACAGGAACCAACTAATGTTCCCATTTATCTGTAACCTAAATTCAGCAATCTAACACTCCAAATAATTTGTAGTCTGAAGTCCACATCCATATTGGAATTGTATCACATATATTTTTCTGCTTTGATTCGTAATGTGAGTCCCCAAAGGGCTGCTAACTCATAGTGATTCAGCATGGAATAAAAGCAAAAGCAACTACAGAAATACACATTACATAAACTGGTAAAAAAATAAAACAGCCTCTGTTATCTCTCCGCTTAGTTTCCTTCTCCAGAATGGGATACTGTGACTCCAGAAGCAAAGAATTTAATCAACCAGATGCTGACGATAAACCCTGCAAAGCGCATCACAGCAGATCAGGCACTTAAGCACCCATGGGTCTGTGTAAGCATCTACAGCTTCCCTTCTCATAGTAACTTTAGAAGCTTGGAAATGGGCCCCAACCATGTTAAAGCTGAAATGGAAGAACTACAAGGACGGCATGTAGAGGGGGAGAGAGTGAGATTGAGAGCCACTGGTTAGGTCAGGGGTGTCAAACTCAATTTCACTGAGGGCCGCATCAGTATTGCAGTTGCCCTCGGGGGGGCGGGGATGTGTGGCCAGGGTGGGTGTGGCCTATTGGGTGAGCATGGATGGAGTGGGTGTGGCCTACTGGGTGGGCATGGCCAGCTCTACATCGTTCGCGTCAAGGGTGCCTGTGGGGGCCTGGGCAGGAGTGGGACAGATTTGAGGGTCTCTGGCAGAAAGGGGGTGGTGACCGGGGCAAGTGCCAAGGCATGGTCCACTGGAGGAGCCTCACTGCCTGCTGAAACCCCTCCCCCGGAGCCCATCAAGCCGGATATGTGAAGTAGGCGAGGGCCATTTGCTGGCCACTTCCAGGTGATGATGCATTTCTTTATTCCTCACAAAGGGTGACACCTCCCCAGCATGCACCCAGGGGGCGGGGCCGATAGGGCAGGGGCTGGTTCCTCGCTGTTTCCAGACGGCCTTGTGAAGCTAAGACTGAATGCGTTTCAGCATAGATGGCCACCACAAAATTGTACTTGGCTCCCGGTCAGCCTGGGCCAGGGCCAAGGCAGCGGGGGCCGTTCCCTCACTGTTTCCAGGATGGCTTCGTGGGCCACATGAAACCACTTTGTGGGCCGCACCCGGCCCCCGGGCCTTGTGTTTGACATGTCTGGGTTAGGTGGTTGGACTCTTACTGATGGAACATAAGTTCAAGCCTCTCTTCATTGATGGAAACATTGAATGTGGGCCAGTTGCATGCAGTGGAATAACATGAAGAGAGGTAGCCGTGTAAGCTACCTTGAACGCTTAGAGCAAGGGTCCCCAATCCCCAGTCCGTGGACCGACACCGGTCCGCAGCATGCCAGCAATCGGTCCGCGCAAACAAGCAAAGCCCCATCCTTAGGATGCAGGCAGTGCACAAAACCACACCCCCTCTGGCCCGCAGAAAAACCTTTCTCCACGGCACCGGTCCCTGATGCCCAAAAGGTTGGGGGCTTGTGGCTTAGAGGAATGGCGGAATAAAAATTAGTAATTAAATAAACTGAGATGGTGATCTAAATGCCAATTTCTGTTTGCTTTTTTTCCAGCAACGATCAACTGTCGCTTCTATGATGCACAGACAGGAGACTGTGGAATGCTTGAGAAAGTTCAACGCCAGAAGAAAGCTGAAGGTATATATATATACAGTGACTTACGATTCCCCATGTTGTGATTATAGAAGTTGGCAATATGCATTCCAATGAGCATTCCTCTCCATCACTTTACACATGTTCTTTGCATGTGTTCATCAGCTCCACACCATAAAGTCACCTTTATTAAATCCATTGCATTCATTCTCCCCATCTTAGTTTCATGGACACCGAATAATCTGTTTTCTTCCTTTAATTTCATTCATTAATTAATGCTCTTCACTATTTACTCCTCCTACATTTCATGTGACAATCTTATGCGCTCTGGTGATCACCAACTTGTTCTATGGGTATGGATCATTGTTAATAGTAATATAGAAAAATATAGAGGTTACTAATTGTAGTGGTATCTGTGGCTCATGCAGCATTACCAGCTCTTGGTAAAGATAGTAACAGCCAGTTTTAGCAGTAGTGTGCCCAGTTTTGCCAAGTATAGTCACACTAATACATTGTGACTCACATCCTGCTAACTAGTAGGTGCATGCAACTTATAGAGACCCTATTTGGGAGGCTACGACAGGCAAACACTTGCCCTGAAAGTGAAGAAACTTTAATTGGGGGCTGCATAACATATCTTTATATTTTGTGGTATAGATCATAATAAACATATATAATCACTGGTATAGTATCCAGAATATTCGTTCTTTACCTTTTGCGTGTTTTTTTATATATATATAAAACCCAAATAACCAAAGACCTACATATATGTGTATATTGCTATTTTTAGGGGGCAATCCTTACTACTATGCTGGTGTCTCGGAATTTTTCAGGTAAGAATTTGTTTGTTTTTCTGTTTCTTGATTTGTGTCCAGCAAATACGTTAAATGAATTTTAGCTTTACAAATCAGACAGATGACCCTTTACTTTTTGAAGAACGGTCCAATTTTATGCAGTCGTTGTACATCTGACCTGATCCTAGATAAGAATTGCCATGATTGTTCTTGGCACTTTTCAGTTTCCTGTTTGCTTCTACTTGCTTATATTGTGGCAGCAAAGGTTTTTTTTTTTTTCAGCTGAGAGGAGAGAGAACGAAATTCTAACCAAACATGTGGTTGATTTCTGTGAGGAATAGTAGGATGGCCCCTATGTATACAAAGTCCTAGAGCAGGGGTAGGTAACCTTGGCTCTTTTATGACTCGTGGACTTCAACTCCCAGAATTCATGAGCCAGCATACTTCAGCTTAGAAACCTCTCCCTTTCCCCTCAGCATGGCTGGCTCAGGAATTCTGGGAGTTGAAGTCCACGAGTCATAAAAGAGCCAAGGTTGCCTACCCTGTCCTAGAGCAGTGTTTCTCAGACTTTGCAACCTTAAGATATGTGGCATGGGTGGCTGGGAAATTCTGAGACTTGAAGCCCACACATCTTAAAAGCTCTCAGATTGAGAAACGGTGTCCTAGAGCATCCAGAATGGGGCAGTAGAAATAAAAACAAAAATCAAAATGGCGACCACAATGCTGCCGCCATCTTGACTTTTTCAAATCTTTCCCTCCACCCCATGAATGTCTCTGCATCGAGAACTGATTCTGATAACTGTTTCCAAAAATTTTAAACAGTCCCAGCTGGCGTTTATATCCATAGTTTTATAAAGAAATAGCAAAAACCTGACATAAATTAAAAACCATTGGCATTTTTTTTCCTTTGAGCCGTCTTAAAAATATTTCACATGGCATTCAAGTCTTGGAAAGATTGCTGGCCCCTGCTACAGCATTCTTTCAATTTGCAAATCTTTTTATTTTATTTTTTTTCATTGTAAAGTACCTAACATTATAGATTACAAAGTAATAATCCACAGAAGTTGCTTAAAAATAATTCTCTCTCTATCCTAACTTCCCAAATTTACACATTATGTTTTCAGTTTGCTGAGGTGGGTCTGCGTATGACAGCAAGATATATTTTTTTTTTAGCTGTGGCAAGAAACAACAGTTACTTTGGAGAAAACTGCCCGTCAGTATTTTCTTTCAACAAAATGTTTTCTAACTTCATATCAATATGCATACTATTGTTTTCAGGACTTGGGTTTGCAATTTTCCTCCCTTTTTGCAAATAGAAACCAGTTTTTCTTCTTCACCTTCCAATGATAAGAGAACTTCTGAAAATCCTCATATTTCCAATTTAATGGGAAGCAAAGACAATTCCTTAAGCACTACAATGGTTTGAGAGGGTGCTTTTTTAAAATTTCACTCCTAAGTGGGGAAAATCTTGGCTCTCGATTTCAGTAAAATAGTCTAATTTCTCACTATTCAAAAATACACAATGCTGTATTTTCACAACCATTCAAAACTCTTAATTTCTCTGTCAGGAGTGTTATAAAAAGATTTTGTTATCACAGCAGAGAATTATGATGATTGTGATATTGAAAAAAAATCAGGAAAGAATTTGTATAGCTACCGGTTTCTTCCTGTTTCTTCTACCACCAAATCAGCCTGTAATGTTTATCAGTGACTACTTCGTGGTCAAAAGGACTCACTAGGGATTCATTATTCAGATCTAATTGAATTTAGTAATAGGATTTGAAGCAATAAAAAGACAGTGTTTTAGAACTAAAGTAGCTCAAGGTAACTGAAGCTCTTCATTGCCCAAGCTATATGTGTCTTGTGGAAAAATAAAGCCTTAAAAAAATAAAGGGCTTTTACGAAATTCCATGGGTGAAAGAGAGATCTTTATTTTTGCACAAAAAGGTTCAGAAGTGATTTAACAATCAACAAATTTCTGAACAAGGGGGAGGGTCTAAACTAAAGCTTTATAGGTTTCTTTCTCTCAGGAACAAAGGAAGCATAGATGGAATCTTACATTGTATATGGAATCTACTTTGTGTAACATTCAGATAGTTTCTCACACATTAGGTCCATTTCTCATGGGAATACAATGAAGGCAGTTTTTACTTTTATACAATGTTTCTAAATATGCATTAGGTCATTCACGTACTGTTAATACAGCTTTTGGCTAACACAGCTTTCTTTCAGAGATTATGCAGACACATGATTTTTGCTTTTAGTGATTTTTCATTATTATTATTATTATTATTTTACTTTATTCTTCTTTATTCTATGTTATTCTATTTCTTTCCCACTTTATGTGTATGAGAGGAAGAATGCCAGCTAAGTATTGGTGTAGAAATAACAAGACAGTATAGGAGTCCCAATGAAGTCAGGCACCTGTAAACATAGTAAATAATAAAATACATTTAAGCACCTTTTCCTACTAATGGCCATCAGGTCATTAACTGTATTTGTCAACTATTGATATATTTTAGAAAACACATGCGTAAGTGGAAATTAACCGCACAGATCACGTTATTACAATATAGTAAAGCTTGCACTAACATCTTACACTAGATTCACAATGCTGTTCATGTTCCCTTGCAACAGAAGTCAGAGCAAAGATCACACAAATAATACCCATTGGTGCAACTACTCCAGGAAAGGCAAGCTCTGACTTAATTTCTGAGAAATACACACCCAATAATAACCAGCAAAATCCAAACAAATAGAGCTAGAAATCCAAGCCTAACATAGAGGTGCCTGGAAAGAAATGACATGGCTGGAGGAGGCTGCCAGCTGTGAGTCTTCAGTACAAAAACGTGGGCAATAATACTGAAACCCGTAGATCAGAAACAGGAAATAAAGGAAGACAAAACTTTTTTCAGATCTCTAAATCCAAATCAGAATTAGACCCAAAGGAGCAGAGAAAGCAGATACAAGTGAAACCATTGGAAGCAAAAGTTCATGGTTTTTCTTAAGGACGAGTGATGGGGAGGTAGCATTGAGTAAAAAAGACAACTAATGCACCTAGAATGGATGGTAAGTGACAAAGTCATGATTCTGCAGCAAGAAGGCCAAAATCAAGGCAGGTCATGAACAGAGTCTTACTCATTAGAACAGTGGTTCTCAACTTGTGGGTCGGGACCCCATTTGGGGTCGAATGACCATTTCATGGGGGTCGCCAAACCACGCTGTCCGCCATTTTTCCCTTTTCCCTAGCTGTCCTACTGCCTCTTATTGGTAGCCACACCTACTTGGCCACGCCCCTGGGGGTCACCACAACATGGGGAACTGTATTATGGGGTCACGGCATTAGAAAGGTTGAGAACCACTGATTAGAAAGTGGAGCATAACTGATCTTTCAAGCCCTGCAGCTTCTAACATTATTGGAATTCATTCTTTGTCACCTGACTAACTTTCCTCCACTGTTTCTCAAGCAGATATGTTCTCTGCTTTATACGCTCCCTGATTATAAATGTTTACATTAATAAACCACTCTACTTCTTTAGCTGTCATTTTTATTTGTCTTACTGGAGTTTTCAAGATGTCCGGCCTTCTTTTTTGTGGAAAGCCACTAGCGGTGAGGTTTTTTTTGCTGCTGTTTTGGCAAATGAGGACCTCCTCAAATTTCTTACGTATTTTATCGTATGTCCTTGACTTGTAAACATGTGCTCAGGTTTTTCATTTAAGAAATGAACAGGCTAGTTTAAAATGAGCTTTTTCTTGAAAGGTGCTTCATTTGAATGGGGAGAAGGTCCAAGGTCCTTGCGAAAGCTGTTTGTGAGCCCCATATGTTGCATCCCCTTTCAGCCTCTATGCTACACAGTTGGAACTGTAATATCCCTCAGGAATAAGAAGGGAGCATTAGGGGCTTCGTTGAGGCAGAAGAATGCACGACAGTTTTCTAGCTTTTCTCTGGAAATCTGCTTTGTGGGAGGGCTGCTGATTTCATATTCCCAGGTTCGTGTAGTATCTGGACTCCCATCTTTTCGGTTCCTGTAGCCACACCATCAGTGCCTTTCACCCAAACCTCTTCCTGGAATAGTTTCATTTCTATGAAGTTCTGGTTCTCCATTTTTCTTTAAAATCTCACTTCTACCAAAGCTTTTTTTAAAAAATAATTGTAGCATCTTAAAGAGACATCTGCAGAGAAGCAGACAGCAGGTGAGAATTGAGGGTAACTGAAGACAATTTAAGAAGTATTGTAGGTCTCGGTCTGAAAGACACCTGATAGCTGACTAATCCACTGGCATCTTACAAGCACCGCCTTGTCTGCATATGGTCCTTTTTGTGTGTCACGCTCCTCACAGTCACATCCTCTGCCTTTTGTTAAGAGAATTTCTCTATTCCACTCGGGAAGGGAAAAAAAGCAAAATGTAACCATTGGATAAATTAGTGCTTTCGCTGGGGTGGGCAGGGAAAGCTCTGTTATCTCTCTGTGAGAGAAAATGGCCTAAAAACTGAATGATTGATGAGTGGGTTGGCTGAAAAACAAAACAAAAACAAAGGACTAAAAACTTGCTTTTACAAGATTAAAAATGGTATGTCGTGACCTGTAAGAAACACTCTGGATCTGTCTGTTATGGTTCCGGCTAATGAAACACTTCAAAGAACTTCCAAGCATTTGTTTTCCTGAAAGTCTTTTATTGTTGCAAAATGTCGGCACAGGCATAACGGAGGGATGCTAGGATCCAAATTCTCTTCCTCTGAGCAGTTAAATTATCAGCATGATCCCTCCCTAAATTAGCCGTCATATCTCACATTATCCAATTAGTGTGAAGGTCAAAGGTTTCCTTCCTCTTTCTTTCCCGGGCTTTACCCCCAACCCCCCTAATGCTCTGTATTAACCCCATAATTACCAGACAGTTCTGCATATTGTCAAAAGCAAGAATGTACAATATTTGCAGCGTTGACACTGTCATTGATGCAAATGAATTGGGAATCAGGTTCAGATGTACCTGCATGTCATCAGTTTGGTTACAGGGCTGAAAATGTCAGCAGGTAGCAAC